AGTTCTGAAAAGGCGTCGTGGCCCGGACCACCTGCCTCGCCAAGCCCGTGCCAAACAAGCCCCTGCCACAGCCACAGAAGCGGTAGACAAGGAAAGCCACCAGGATAGCCTCAGATCACATCCCCACTCAATGGCCACACGAAAGAACAAGCCGGCCATCGTGAAAGAGCCTCAACGTTCTGAACCTGACTTGGAACACGCAACTGGCACTGTAATTTCGGTCGAGAAAGTAGAAGCTCAAGCCAGGGAAAAATCACCAAGGGGGGCAATTGGCAGTCAATCAGTCGACGGTCGATGCCAAAAGTCAACTGAATGTGTTTTTCCCCGAGCTCTTCCCCAAGAAAATTTGTGATTTACAAGTTGATTTGCATAGAGCGTTTCTGATGGTAAGCACGTTGATGTTTCTTTATACGCCAACCATAATGTCATTTTCATCACCAATCAGGAGAAACACGAACCAGCTGCCACCCCAAAACTGACCCGAACTGACACATTTCGCCCGTTGCAGCCCTGGATCAGCTGCCACTTGAGGACGTTCCTCTTTGAAGTCTCTCAGCAAGAAGCCGCCCACGAGAGCCACTGCTTTGGCATCGTTGCACCAAGCCACTTGCTTCACAACCTGCGCGTTTGTGAGATGGAGCTTGCGTTTGGCAAGCCTTTAGCAAATGCCATTCACGCACCCTCCGGTCAATGCTACAAGTCCTTTCCAATAAAATTTCCAGGGCTCTTGCCCCAAAACCTTTGCCTATCAAAATGGTCACGTAACGTTATTTATAAGTGGATGCCTCTGTGCAGGCACGGATGTCCAGCCAAAGCTTTTAGGATAAGCGTGTATATAGAAGTTTCTTTGCGCGTGTGCACACTGGCACGTATATGTAGCTAGGCATCCAAGCGTGCATGCATGTGAACCTATGTGAACCTATGTGCATAAGCATAGCAGATGGAGGTGCGTATGTCTCAGTTTCTTGCATCCATGTATGTATGTCTGTACGTACGTGTGAATATTGGTTTGTGTGTGTGTCAGCGTCTATGACTGTGGACGCTTATGATGTGTCTGTGTATGGGCATGAGTGTAAGTACGTGTAAGTGTACGTGTACGTGTGTGTGTATGTGTATGAGCGCGTATGTGCGCGCGTATGTGTGCAGTGTATGTGTGGCATGCGTGCGTACAAGCATGTGTACATGAGAGCATGTGTTATACATGAAGTGTCTGTGTGTGTACGGATGTATGTCTATCTGTTTGCGTGTTTGTTTGTTGGTTTGTTAGGGGCGGACGGACAGATCGCTGGGTCAAGTGATGGACGCCGAGAAGCCTCTAGAAGGTTCAGCTTCGAATTGCAGCGGCCGCTCTCAAGCCATCGATGCACGACATCATGCGGCCCACTCACAGGCGCAGGCATTTCGACTCATGGCGAAGCAGGCTGTTTTACGGTTCAGTGTATTTCATCTGCGAACATTGTATTTTCTAGCTAGCAATTAACTGCTATCCCATGGATGTTCCATTGTTCCTGTAGATGCGACGTTGAAGCCAAGACATGCTCGAATGCATTTTTGCTTACCACATCGGGGAGTGGCTCAAACATAGAGCGCAATCACTGTAATGTGGTTTTTTGCTGAGTCATACCCATCTAGGGTCGGAGTACTCTATAGCTATTTCGGCTTGGTTTGCCCTTCATTCATGCTGGCCAGTTTTTCCGTGAAGAGGCCATCGCTCTTGGGTTTTCAGGGTCCATGGGCCTCTTTCAGGGCGTAAGTTTGGCACGAGTTCAGCCCTTCCGGTGGTTGAGCAAAGATGAAGGCGAGTGGGTTTCAGAGCGGCCCAGTAGGGATGGGTCCCCAGCAGTGTCGCCAACTAGTCATTTAATTAGTCATGTATGTCCTACGGTCAAATCAATACTTCTTATGTAGGGCATGGTCCCCTTCCCATGATCACGGGTCCTCACCAGGGTTGTATAGAAAGCTCCATTGAAAGCGGATGACCATGCCTACTAGAGGGAACTCGCCCCAGTTTTGACCATAGTACACTATCGAGTTGATGTGGGATGGACATGTCTGGACTTGCCATTGTTTGGAATGTGGAACCCTGGACTCCGGACTACTTCCATGAAAAGAAGAAACCGGCGGACATTGCAGGATACTCTTCTGGGGCATCATTCTGTTGAGTGTTCCACCTGTGGCTGGTCGTTTGTTTTGAAACAAGTTGACGATGTATGTAACTGTATATTGATTGGGCTGCCTGTGGAAACTCAGGGAACAACATCGATGGCAAACCTGTATACAAAGAAGTATTGTTAAAAAAGTGCCGCTGCAAGAGGTTTGCTCTGACCGCGAAAATGATCCACACAACGAAAAAACATTTTGTTCTGGAACCGCACCACCTCAAAATATCTCAAAAACACACAGGTTGACCTCAAAGTGTCCTCAAGCATCATCACAAACAAATAGTCTAGATACATGCAAGGTATAATATCCCCAAATCGCCTCTCGGGAGATGTCTTGAATCCTGGCCCCTGTTAATAGACCCTACCTAGAAGACCCTAAAACGTCGATACGTAAACCCAAGCACTTTCTTCAATGCAGGGACTACTAGAGGAAGGTTTGTTTCTTGGGTTGGTTCTGTAGTTTCTTTTGGATGCAACTATTGTATTGTGGCAAGCGTTTTTTTTCTTCGACCTGCGTCGATTGATCACGGCGCGGCTTCGGCATCCGGTTTCCCATTGCCATTGTTGTGAAATCACCGCAACCTGCTTCAATGAAACAATTTGAACCGTGTCGTTCAACCACAACAGAGTGGGTGTGCATAGTGAATGGAGAGATGACTAAATATATATATATATATATAGATTTACATAGTGACATTGTGTTTTCTGGCGTTGTTTCTCAAAGCGGCTTGGAGCCAGGTGGCTTCGATCCACAGGCTGCGTTGGGTTTCTGATGTTTGTGGCGTCTACGGTGTCAGGGCTGATTTTGATACGCGTGTTTGGTTGCAACATGCTTTGGACACAGTTCCCCAAAACGTTTGGGGACCTTTAGGTTGGCTACCTGCTGCAGTACAAATTTGAGACCATCTCGAGCAGAAAACCTGGGTTTTTGAGATGTTTTGAGATGGGCCAAAAGCCAGCCGCAACGGAAAGACCCCGGCACGGTCCGACGGTCCAAGGAGTGCCTCCTTGCCCGCCGGTAGCACTGAAGGGATTGGCAAACTGGTGCCCAGCAAGCGTGGCTTCAACCTGGGTGACCGCAACAAGCACTTGGGCATATAGGTGTGAATTATTTTGGGGTAATACCATGGCCCTGGCTGGGTAGACTGGTCTAGTTTCCGAACCTTCCAGGGGGTCGTTGCATGGGAGGTCTCCCTGTCTTTAATAAATACACATCATATTCTATACTATACTATTCTATCTATACCCATATAGAAATACACACACATATATATATGGTCCCTGCGTTGAACAAAGTGTTTGGGTTTACGTATCGATGTTTTGGGGTCGTCTAGGTAGGGTCTGAGAACAGGGGCTGGGATTCAAGACATCTCCCGTGATGCGATTTGAGCATAGTTTGCCTTGCATGTATCTAGATTGTTGGTTTGTGGTGATGTTTGAGGACACTTTGAGGTCAACACGTGTGTTTTTGAGATATTTTGAGGTGGTGCTCTTCCAGAACATTGTTTTCGTTGCGTGGATCATTAAAATGCTTTTTCTGGTAGGTCTATATACATCCGAAAAAACGCGCCCTCTAGGCCTCCCCACCTCGTTGCGAAGAAGGATGAAAATGATGAAGGAGGCAGGCCGCGCGGCGGCCGCCAAGCAGCCGAAAAAACAGCCGGACAATCAAAAAATATTAAATATCCCAAAAGCCATCCCAGCAATAAGCCCCGAAAACAGCAATGTCAAACACCTGCAAAACTGGGGGGGACACACTTTTGAACTCTACTTCATCTTCTGGGTAGCTGAGCACCTACACACAATAAGCAAGTGATCTTTTCCTGCACCAAAATATCTCTTACAAATCTCTTCACATCTGGGCCAGCCATCCTTCACAAGAGCGCATTTCTGTTCAACATGGTTGCCGTTTAGGTATCGTGTTGGTCATCATTCAAAGCCTGGACAATCTTGAGAAGATATGGTGGAAATTGACTACGAGCTTCAAGGTTGGTTGGCATATGTTTCTGTCAAGGTGGCATATGTTTGCAAGAAGGCCGGAAACATTGCGTCAAGGTTCGCATGCTACACTGTCTGTTCCACAATTCCATGGTGGTCCAAATGCTGTACTTGGTGTCACATCACATCACATGTGCTCATTCCAAGGTTATCGTTTTGGGAGTTTATATATCGTTCTGTCCAAGTGCATGTCTTCAGTCAACATGTGCTTCAATACTTACTACTCGGTTTGATGTGGAGTAGCCAGTTGCTCATGTGGTGACATCACCACGAAAAGCATGGGGAAAAGCCCGTGAGTGGCATCAATATCACCTGTGGAAAACAAACGCCTGCACGTGCCCCAAACATGAGGAACTTTCCCAAACCTCCACCTAGCGGGCTCTGAAAACGGTCTAACTTCCAACGTGGTTCCTATCTCTCAGCCAAATGTGATTTGGTCGATGGGCCAAAACCCCAAGAATTATAGAGGGTGTCAACTGGGGCCAACCGGTCCAAAAATGGACAAACTCACCTCTCTCACAAAAGGAAGACGTGTCTGCTGCGCCTTTTTGGGGTCCCCAAAGGGGAAACCAACTCAAGACCAATATCCAAGCTATAGAAAAATGCAGCTGCAATTCTCTTGACCTCTTCATCTGGGGTCCTTGGCCTCTTGGCCTCAAAAGGCTGAAAATTCGTGTTCTGAAGATTCTCAAGCATGAGTGCCCCCTGAATCATTGGAGGAAAAATGGAATCTGAAGACCATGCGTGCCATCCAATTCTTCAGGTTCTTGCCCTCTCTACTTTTTTCAGAGATCCCTTTGGTAAACTCCGTCACTCCGTCAAACCTCCCAATTCCCCGGCCTTGCGGTCCATAGAGCTCAAGATCGCCAATGCTCGAGTCCACTCGGAGATCGCACTGAGGACCTCCACACACCGTCGGCAGACTGTCGGTGCGGATGGCAGACCGTCAGACCGTCAGGTGGGTTTGTCCACCTGTGAAAAAAAGGTTTCGACAGCGAAACTGCGTTTCGAACACCTACACAGACACCTCTGTGACTAAGCCTGGGCTTTGGTCCTTTGGTTGAAGATTGAGAATGGAAGGATTCGGAGGTTGGCGTCACGACTCAACCTGGACCCAGGCGACCGAGTTGAAGGCGATCTCATTCGGCTTCAGTTTGGCCAAACGTATCGCCTCGGCCGCGGGTTTGATCACGGAAGTGTGTGGTTTGATCACCACGGAAGTGCATGCTATAAGTTGGATTGCTTCCATATCCATCCCCAGTTGGCCAACTCACTTGGGAACCCAACGACAGCTGGGCGTGAGAAGAATCCTGAGTGTTTTGGGGGTGTTCCTGAGGTCTAGGTTGTATTGACATGTATTGACAATTAGGCCTAAGTCATCCTATATGCAACCCCATGAAGTGTTTCATTACACGGAATACACACACCATTGGACAGCCAAAGGGTTCTTTTGTATCAGTCTGCAGGCTGAAGAATACACACTTAGGATGAGATCCCATTGAAATTTCCTCAATGTGAAGGTGAAGCGAACAGAATCTTCCGATGACTGCTGGCAGGCTGAATGCAGCGTTGCAATATGTAGTGGTGTATCGTGCTTTCAGGTCTTGCTTCCGACAAGTAGCGTTGAGAAGAGCCAAGGCATACTGCCAAGATCCTGAGTTACAGGCTAGAGATTGGCGTGGAATCTGAACTTGATCATCGCCTCAACAAAGGTGTATTGTTGCATGCCACAGTGATGTGCACAAATACATACAAGTACAAATAAGTATATCTGCAGGCTGGAGACTTATGACATCTTCGGCCAGACATCTTTCCGTCTCCCCCTAGGCCTTCCTTCACCCCAAGCGCTCTCGTGGTTAGATGTGTGTCTCAAAAATGATCAAAAATGCAACCCTCGTGTTCGCAAGAACTCCAGCTATTTGTTGTCATGTCGCATTGGAAAATTCCATGAGTTGGCAAGCAGTTTGGGGGCAAACGAAAGGTCTTGAAAAACCATCTCACAAGAATTCCTGGGCCTATTCCATAGCCATATTCCATAAAGACCCACAACGCATCGCTCTCCTCACCCGCAACACGCTGTGGGAACAGCGTCGTCCCGTGGCACACGCCGCGATGGCGCTGCTGTAGGTGATGAGATCAGCCAGTCGGCGCTCCTGGTGATGGGTATCAATCGGTCAAACAAGGTGCACCTCTTGACATCTTTGCATCGGCTGAGGGAACTGACTCTTTAAAAGATCCGCAAACACAGTCAGTGAAGCGAACTTTCCACCGGTTCTTTTGGAGTGGGGAAACCAATCCTTAAAATGGTTAAAGGCCATCCACTCACTGGGTAGGCGAATGTGTGATCGCACGGCCAAGCTGATGCTCTTTTTGACAGGACGAGGACACACAGAGCCTCTTTATGATTGAAATTGAATAAGGGAACTTTGAAACGACTGGCCTACTCACTTCCACACCCAGCACAAAATGCATTTCACTACTTCACTATGTAGAAGGCCGCATCTGTTAAGGCTTCCCGCTGTCTCTCACAACAGAGCCTCATCACCGTCTCATCACCTACTGACCTACCCAGGTCGTCTCCTTCCCAAGGGCCTCCCTCTCCCCGCCTTCCACGCACGCCTTTCCCGCTCTCCTCCGCCTGCTCCAAGAGGCGGATGGCTTGGCGCCACGGACGACCCGAACGGCAGGACGCGCTCAGCGCGCGGTTGAAGACGACGGCATTCCTCGGGCGCCGTGGTAAAACGCCAAGGGCCCGGGTGACGCGTGGCGTTTGCGGACCGCGCGTGGCTTCGCACATTTGGAGTGATGGGGTGGGCAAAAAATACTCGAAGCACTCCTGTAAAGCCTTGAAAACGATGCGGTTATTAAAGGACTGATGTGGTACCCAAACTTACTTGCAGATTAAGAACAGATCGCTGGCTTGGGACTGTGAGCCGAGGTGGTGGGCTTACGAAGCCACCATCGAACAGCAATGAATCGATGGTCACCTGTGCGGGATCTTCAGAAGATCTCAAATGGCCAATTTGAAACTCCATTTCAGATGGGCACCTGGGGATGTCACCACCCAGTCGACAAGGATTCCAAGCTCAGATGGCCAAGAGCTCGGAAACCTTCGAGACTGAAAAAAACCATGCGCCTAAACCCTTTCGGCGTTGCGTCCGACATGGGTGAGTCCAAACTGCTCCAAGCTCTAAGCCCCAATTGCAGTAAAATTACGGTACTCTAAACTCTAAACTTGCACAAATAAGCTCTCTGCCAACCCGCCCTTGTGGGTGTTGCCACAGAGCTCCAAAGCGCAAAACAAGCTCCTTCCCAAAGCGGAGCCCAACCCACCCCAACTTCTGTTGAGCTTCGGCTTCACAGAGATCTGCAACATCCGCCTGAAGAAGAATTCTTGGAGACGGCCGTCCCATTCCCAAAAAGGATATGCAGAAAGGTTCCGCTGCGTGATGTCCACCGTTAAAGTCGACTTGAGAGAGGAGGGGGTGAACGAAAGGTAGCAGGCAATCACAAGTAACCCTGGTAGAAGTCCACGACGGCGTGAACCGGCGCAGGGGGGATTTGATCCAGGGGGGGGGGGCCCCCCCCCGACGAACAGAATCAACTCTTACAGGACCAAATTCAATGCACAATCCCAGCTCCTGATTGTAATACATGTTTGCTAAAGCAAGGAGAACTCAGGTAGCTCAAGCTACCTTTCGTGACATGGAACGAAAACTACATCGTAGCAGTAGCAGTAGTAGCAGTAGGAGCAGTAGGAGTACGTAGGAGTAGTACTGGTAGCACTAGTAGTACTAGTACTAGTAATCGTCGTCGTAGTAGGCGGAGGAGGAGGAGGGGGAGGAGGAGGAGGAGCGGCCAGCAGCGGCAGAACAAGACGCTGTAGCCCCATGTTCCTTTCATTTGGCCAACTTGTAAGGGTTCACCAACACTAACGAATTGCTCCCCTAGCCTCTGCAAAGCCCGCGACAGGTGAAGCGTGTACAGACTAAACCTTAATCAATAAACGGCCTGGCCAATACACGGTGGCTTGGCGGAAGGACCCACAATCTCCATTCTGGCCCCATGATTAGGAATGAGCCACTGTGGACTATTGGTGCATTGGAGTTTCCAAAAAGTACAGTAGTGGCCTCCACCCCAAGAAACACCAAGTAGATACACAAGTGAATCCATCGTAAGTCTTGGATATGTTGAAACCATCCCGGTTCAACCCAAGCAGCCCAAAGCAGCTCAACATTCCTACATCAACTTTGGCTCTCGCTTTATGGCTTTATGGCTTCAAGAAGTCAAGACTTCCCGGGACTCCCGTGGTATCCCGTGGTCCAAACCCAGGTTGCCCGGTTGACCTCCTGGTAGGTTGACTTGACCTTAGGAGTCAAAAAACAGTTCTGGTCCGTCAACCAGGGTCCTGCGGTGCCGGCCTCGGATCCCCAAAAGCTTCCCTCGGATCCCGCCGAGATGCCCCAGGATGCCTGCAGCGTGCTGCCACGCGTCCGTCTGGGAGGCTCCGAAGGAGATCACGTCTGGCAGCAAGAGGGAGACCTGCGGAAGCTGAGGGAGGGGAAGACGAGGAAGAGGAGGGGAATCTGAGGGGAAGATGCACACCCCAACAATTCCCAAACAGAATGAATACATATGAGCCCCGATCTCCACCCATGGGTATGCGAAAATTGACAACATGTAACGCTCGGTTAACTTGAGGCCGAGGGAGGTGACGAAAGCTAGCAGGGATGCATCCGTGTCAGTGGAGGCGAAGCATACAGCGCCGTCCAGTGACAAAGGATTGGTGGGACATCAAGGGGAGTGAGGCAAATCTTTTTTCATAGGCATGGGGCTGTTGGAGGGATGGTTCACAAGGTCTCGCTCATGAGGTAAAACGTTGTGAACATGTAAGACACACGAACAGCAATGACACAGCCAACCTTAGCTTGTGAATCTGTTGAATCTGTTGCATCGTATCCCAAAACCTCCACGGAGGAGTTGAACCAAAGTGGATGCCATAAGAGGTGTCCAAGAGGTGTCCCAGAGGCGTCCCAGGGGGAAGTTGAACCACTACATGAAGTTTTCACGTGATGCGGCGATCTCGAGGATTCCAGCCCCTCACTTGCTAAAGCAAGGACAACTCCAGCTAGCTAACATGGCGACTGAAGGTAATAAATTTGTGCGTTAGCCCAACCCTGCCCAGTGGATATGGAGAAGAGTTCAGTGTTTTGCATAGGAAATGGGACCATGGTATCCCGTGGTGCAGGAATGGGTCTATCAAACCAGAGTATATAGACGTAATTATTGTCACTACGCTCATGCAAGGTCAAGGAATAGAACGGCATCATTCAGAGGCATGCATAGAGTCATAGAGTATCACTCAAATGGAGAGAGGGTCAGGGCCAGTGAAACAGCAATCTTTTTGAATTCAACAAAAGTGATTGGACCATCATCGAGTGTCATCTATCCATGCCCCCTCTAAATCCATGGGCACTTGCTGACACTTCGTTCGGTCCAAATTGAGGACTGGACACTGAAAAGACCGCTGAGAGATGATGCGATAGGCCGCGCAAAATTGCATGGTGCAACCTGTCAAATTTAAAAGACTTCGGGTGTGGTTGCGACAGGTTGGCCAGAAAGCAAGGTTCTGCTAACTTTTGTTGGCTCGCAGTGGGGTTGATCTAAAGCTGCAAGCCAGCTCAAATCAAGTGCTTTTGACCAGCAGCTACGTGTTGTTGTGATTGTTGCTATTGTTGTCCCAAATACCTTGTTTCACACTGACCATCTACAATACATGTCACTAAGAGATCCATAATGTTGCACCCTCTCTTCGTCCTTTTTGCAAAAAGGCACGCACATGGCCTGGTGGTGATCCCCCCTCCTCCGTCCGGTGGGCTCGGTGCTTTCGGTCCGGTGAGACCGGTCTCAGCGGACCGAAGTTCCCTGGATCCAACTCTGAGTGTGTTTTCCTTTGGTTTTCCTGTTCCAGAAACCCTTTGGCAAAGGTTTGCCTCGTTTTTGAGGCATACTACGCTTATATATATATATATATCCGTCTATCCCATATGTTGTTTAACGGACTGTATACATGTGCGTTCGTTCTGTGCTGCGACTGACTTGCTGTTGATGGTCGACAATTGTCTGAGTTAACACTACCCCAAATAGGTGAACAAGTGAACCAAAATGGACTATCCATGCTTCCCACGTTTTGTAGGGCTGGCTGCACTCCATCGGCTTCACCGCGCGCCTGAGCCTTTACCAAGAGCTCCATGGCACGAGGCCATGTGCCAACCGCCGCCAGGACACCTGGACGTGACCGATGAAACCGCGTGCCACGGAACGCGCAGCCGCTGCGGACCCACTGTGCGGCAGAAGTGGTCGGCCGAGTTTTGTGGCAGAAGCGGGTTGCGGTTTTGTGGCAGGAAGGCACGGGTTTTGTGGAGAAACAGAATATATATATATATTATTATATATATATATATATCCACAAAACTCCCAAGGGCATAGAGCTGCAAAAAAGCCTTAGTGATGTACAGAAATACCATGAACGAACATGAAGCAAGCGCCCTTACAGGTTTTCACACAGGCCTAAGAGGGCCTAAGCTCCTCTCAAGTCGCTCTGTTGATAAATCCCCAAAGGATCTGCGAGTTCAGTGTGATCCTGAAAATCCGAATTCGAACCCATGGCTCTCATTCCGAGCGCCTCGACAGACCAGATTGGACAAGTAGCTGTTGTAGCTAATGAGGTTGGGCTCCACCACTCTGCTTGGCATGCTGCGCAGCATCTGTAAGGCGCGATGCCATTGTCCGCCTTGAAGGAGTCACATTGGGAGGAATTAGACCATGTACTTGGGCGGTTAGATCCGTTACTCCCCTGCAGAGGACCACATGGAACCCCAAAACCACTGGGTTGTAGAGGAAATGGGCAAAACCCACGGTCAATTCTCAGGTTCCACGTTAGTTTGCCGGAGAGTAGTGTCCAACACACAGAGAGACATGGCCTATCAAGATCTTCATTGGTGCGAGCAAGCGATAAAGAGCAAGAAGTTCTCCTCCCAAAGCAAAAGGAAAGTGGTTAATTATAGAAGAAGCGCGTTGCTAATTGTGTAGAGGCACAACAAGGCAGGAGAAAAACACTTTCTGAATGCAAGTGAGTGCCATGAACAACCTTACGTTGGCGTTGAGCTTCCAGTTTGGAGAACTGGGGGATTCCGAACGCATGCATGTGACCTGACCACATGTGTGGCAAACAAGTGCTTCGCCTCAAAGCACCCAAAAAGTTCGAAACAACAACCGGAACGATCCCTGGAGCAACACCCTGTCTGTTCCATTTTGCTCAAGAAAAAGGACAAAACCGGCGTTCGCGCGGCGAACCGTGGTTGACCCAGCGACAGTACGTGTGTCCGTTCCATCCCAAAAAAGAACGGATGAACGCCCTCAAACAGCGGCCGCCTCGATCGAAGGCGCAGAAGGTGGAGCCATAAGTGATGAGATCCGGTTGGAGGTGGAGCTGTTTGGGAGCAGAAAGAAGATCCTCAGCGAAGCCAGCGAAGCAATCCAGATGGGCTTCAGACCGATTTCTCCAACTTCACAGCGCAAGATTTACTGGTCGGATGGGATCGAAAAGTGAAACTGCAAAACGAATGAAACCAGTGGACTAGGTGGTGAATCTGTGTAAAGGACTGTTAATGATGCTGATGATGACTTCAAAAGGTGCTTGCACAATAGCATTTACCGCTTCACTTGTGCCCAAGTTGTTACATCTGTTCAACAACACTACTAGCACAAACTTACGTCTATAATGCTATGCAGCATAATAGTTGGACCAAGTCGTTGAATCGCAGACCGCTTGGAAGCGTTGGAAAAGGGCCACCAATTCTTTCTAAGCGCCAAGTACTTGGACTCTTGCCCTCACACAAAGTTCGCTTATGTCATCTGATGTCCAAGTGATGGTACCAACGGTGCAACCAGTGAGGACAAAGCCTGAAGATCAGTACATGTCAGTAGCTCAGTTCACCGCACCCAGTTGCTAGGGCATCTTGCCATTGCCCATTTTGAGCACCCACGTTCATGACGCTGTTGAGACTGACCACATCTGGCCAAATCTGCGGCGCGACCGTGGCAACTCGGCTGCCATGGTGGAGAGGGTGGGCTGCTAGAGTCCAGTTACGACTCACCTCTCAGAATCGGTTCATCTGTTGGATTGAGACACTATGCACTTGCAAATCCCACTTGCTAGCAGATCTTTGAACTGATTAGGTGCATGTCATGTCACAGGCTCGAGTTTTCTGCGCGCATGAAAGGAAGAAAGATTGAGACACTTCAGTTCGAGGTGGAGCGAAATGCTGAAGGAGCAAATGGAAAACAATTGAAAAACGCCAGGTCGACTGTACCCGTTAGACCTGGGCCTTCGAGATGCAGAGATGGAAACCTGATGAAGAACCCATTGAAGTGACCAGGGCAGGTTCCTCCCTCGTGCTCCCTCCCTCCGAGAGCGACTTTCCGGGTTCGTTCCTTTGAGAAGAGACATGGACGTGGCTCAAACATGGGTATGTTACTGAATACAGTAGAGTGCAGTACGTTGTTGAAGTCACCCATAGCATCCCATAGTCACTCTTGGAGAAAAAGAAAACTAGGGGCTTCCTATGATCTGGCCTAGCAGGGGTTCTGGTTGCAGCCACGCCGCTGCGTCTCAAACGGTGCTGACTAATTGAAATTGTGACACCTGACCTATATATGGATTTCAGCATGCTGTTTCCTTCTATCAAACAGTTTGAGGGTCCATCTTGAGACATGTCCATGGGCTTAGAGGAAAATTGGATCGCTCTGAACTCTATGTAGACTCCCCGACACTCTTTCAAGGTGTTTTTCATTCTCATGTTCACCCCACCTTGGAAATCAACCCCCCGCCCCTACCCGCCCCTACCATCCATCCAAGTCCATCCCCATCCACCCGGCCTCGCAGCTTCGTATCTCCAGCAGCGTCCCAGGTCCGGCCCTGGTCCGACCGGCCGCAAGAGCCGCGTTGACGTGCACCACGTCGAGCCGGAGCCCTTCGCCCAGGCCTCTTCGGCGGCCGGTGGATCACGGTGTCTGCAGTGAATCATGAAACGGACACGAAAGATCGGTAGAAAATGGTTGATGGATGTTAATGGTCTTTTTGTGGATCAAGGTTTGCGCAACACGGCGCAACTGCTACATACTGCAACGCTGGTTCTCCTCCTTTTTGGATCTTTGGGGAGAAAGAGAAGCTTCTCTGAGGCGGCCAAGACGTTGTGAGATGTTGTGAGGAGATCTGGAGTCTGGAGACGGGCCAAACCGGCTCTTGAAGAGTCAGATTCATGCCCTGGAAGCTCCACTGGATGGCTGTGAAGTTTTTCGAGATGAACGTAGTTGAAATGGTCGTAGGCCGACAGGACTTCAAGAAATTCAAGTCCAAATTCATAATTCGTGATTTCTCGTCTTGCTGTTGATATCTGTCGATACTTGGCAGGACATCCTCAAGCAAAAAAAAAATCCTTGTCCCACATCCGCTATACCCAGACCCACCCTGCAGCCCAGCTACGCAGCCCGAACCTCCCGAACCACCGCAGTTCTGGGTCGTGCACGGGGGCCTGACGGATGCAAGAGGTGTAGGAAGAAAGCCACCAACGGGTGGTGTGCAGTACCAGTACCAAGCAAAGCCAGTACTTGATTCACTGGCAAAGCCAGTAATTCTGGGTGTGCTTGGCATTTTGCAATTTATTGCCATCAATCATCATCGGACACACTGAAATTGAAAGCATCGCACTGCATCTGGTCTGTCGACATACATGTTCTTCTCCAAAGTTTGGGACACCAAAAAGAGCTGATGCCCATGATATTCCAAAGCAGGTCAGCTCCCCAAAGGTCTGCCAGGCATGTGGCATCCGTCACACACCTTCAAGGGCCGTACAATAATCTTACTGTAATGAACCTCTTGATGTTTGGTCTTTCCCCCACTGCCTGGTGCTTTTCAGACGGGGGCAGGGGTATCCAAAGCTCAGACAGCCAGAACACGATGGAAAAAAACATGGGATGGCTGAATGTATATAGACCCTTGATGAAAAAAGTAAAAACGCATGAAGAGGTTTTGCAACCAATGTCGGGGGGGTTATTAATCAAGAGTCTACGTTATATTATCTCATCCAGATCCAGAGTGGCCCACCTTCTCGCCCATCGCTTCGCAGCTTCCTCCCCATGGCGTCCCACCGCCGCGGGCCCCACACACCGTCCCGCGGCGGGCGTCGGAGGTTTCTCCAGCGACGGGCGCGGGGCCGGCTATGTGTGGATCTCAGGTGGGGACGAACCAAGATGTATCACGTAAATGTACAACTACACCTGGCAAGATTGCATTGATGTTTCTTTCAGGGTGCAGGACGTTCAGAAATTTTGAGGCTCAAAAACGAAGACGTGCGTGCCCGCGAGGTTACGCTACATCTTCATCCACCTTCCACATCTTTGTGGAGGACTTCCTGCAGTCTGCAGTGCAAAAACGGCCGAAAGCATCCAGAACATGCTCCTGCGACGGACAGGCGATCAACGCTTCCGCGCACGGCCTTTTCCGCGCACGGCTCTTTCCGGCTGTGAGGCCGGCGGTCGGAGCAAAGGCTACCCTCCGGCGGTGAAAAATTGGAAATGATCCTATGGTCGATCAGCGGTGCCGCGGATCGTCACTTGCTCCATTCAAGAAAAGTAAATACAGAAAAGGTGTGCTTGAGTCACTTGACATACAGCTATTTCGCAAAACAGCATTGTTCTGAATGGTTCTTGTTTATCGTCTTCACTGTCGTCAGTAATTGACCTTTTGAGGGCCGTTCGTCTTCAGAAGATTGGAAAAACAGATGAAGAAACATGGAACCTCTCCGTCGAACCCTGGCTTGGAGAATTCCTGGGAGTCCAAGATGTTTAAAATTGTCTTTTAGGTGATCTGAAAGGAATTTCCTTTGCTTCGGCAGTGCCAAACATAGTCTTTGGATGTCTTTGGACTTCAAGGAGTAGTGTAAATTGTTGTTGTCCTTCAATGATGCTCTGCTGGTCTCGCACCGGAAGAAGGGTTAGCAGGATACCCCTGTCTTTGACACCGTTTCATGAGAACAAGGCAAGTTCGGCAAAGAAAAAGATGTTGTCAAGGGGTCGAAAACCTGAAATCGACCTGGTCATTCGGTTGGGCATGTCATCTAAAAACCTCGGTGTGCATCTGGTCCGGAGACCAACCACTGGGTGTTCCAAACGTGTTTTCTCTATCTTTCTTCAGAGGGGTTGGTAACGAAAATGCAGCCTCCCAGGTGAATCTGTTCCGTTCCTCTCCCAATGAAAATTCAGGGGGTGGGCTCTATTTTGAAGCAAGCCAGTGGCTGAAGAATTAATTTGACACTTGGACTACGTGGTGAGTCCAGCAGCTTTTCCTGCTTTAACCGTCAACTTGACCTTCCCCTCCAAGTCTATCAAAGTGCACATTACTAAGAACAGCGACATGTTGACTGTCTTATTCTCAGCCTACAAGGCGGCAAAAAAGTTCGATGCATGTGATAGCAACTGAGCACTACATGTACCTTAGAAATCGGTATGCGGCTACTGCCTCTTCAGCTTGTCAGCTCTTTACCTTGGGCCCCAAGATACTACACAAAAAGCAAGGATAATCCTCCCTGACAACCATCAGGAATTGTCTGGAACCTTGACTCATCCCAATAGTGCAGCTTTGAACCATGTAACATGTCATACAAGTATCACATATTCACTTATATATCTCGAAGGATACAGGTCAGCCTGTGCCACCCATGATAGTATTCTAGACCTATAATAAGTCTAGGAAACCAGCGAAACCAGCGCTTCAAGCTAACATTGAAGTTGCTGGACATTGCTGAAGAGGCGCGCTCAAATGAAATGGATAGTGGAACCATGTCCGATGCGTCGCGCAAGCTGCTCTGCGTGTTCCGAACAAAACGGGCGTGGTGTACGGTCCGTGGAAATTGATTTTAAGATATTTTAAGGGAAAAGGAAAGATATTTTAAGATCTTTTTGGTGTTGAAAACCATGATTTCCTCATATGTCCGGTAGATTTTATCTTAAGCCTTAAACCAATCCTGGGAATTTCGGTCTAGCATTGTGGGGCCATCCAAGCTCACCAGTGGTCAAGCAGCTCCACTCCCAGCAACGAAATCCTCTGAAAGGAAAAGAGCCGGAGAGGGACTTACGATTCCGGTCAGGCGCTCCAAACCACCCACAAACCCCAGGTGTTTGTCAAAATGGTCTGGTGGATGTTTCTGAAGGATCATCCGAAATGAAAACCTTGCACTTCCCCCCGCATTGCATACAACCCCAGCATCCGGAAGCTTGCTGGAGCCGCCTTTTGGATCCGCTGTTTCACACCCGAAGCCGACATAATGGCCCGAAGCTGGCGCTGCTCGAACTGAAGCGGGGTGGAAATGGAGCTGTGTGCAACTCGTGTTGTTTTTCGACGCACTCCGCATCGAGAAGTCCCAGTCATGGCCAGTGTCCAGACTGACCCAAAGACGCAAGACGCACGCACTCCGCTCCGCGGTCCACACCCTGCGCGGCCTTTTGTTTGCAACCCTACACCTGCAGCGTGTTTTTTCAACACTAAACCCCTTGAGTTCGTCTTCTCAAACAAGGGACATACGGCACCAACCCCAACAAAACAAACCTCAACTGCACGATCACGAGGCAAAACGGCGTAGTACGTGGGGGGAGCAAAAAGAAAGGCTGATGTTCCAAAAATCCTTAAAGTAAATGGTCACAACATGTCAAAACACGGAGCCTCAGGTGGGAGCCCACATCCCGGTGGTTCACATCCACATACACCTGACCTAAAAGGCCTTCCGGTGCCCTCCTCAAATCACGTGCTGGTCTGGTGTGGATCTGGTGTGGACTGCGGTCAGACGATGAACCCAAAGCTTTCAAAGTCGAAGTGGAATCTGGACTTCCCCATGACACCCCCGCATGTGGGGTTCTCAGTCGGGTGTTCACGCCCCAAACTGCGGCCCCTCGTTACCAGGAGGGAAACCGGCTTTGCTTTGGGGTCTTCCACGACCCTCGAAGCTTTGGCTTACCTGGTACCTGATGGTACCTGCATTGGCCAAATTCCTCAGATGGGCTAAGCCGCTCAGTCTCCTGCGCCACAAAAACCGACCTATATATATATATATTTATCTGGATCTTCAAACGGCACGGATGCATTTTTCAATGAAAAGAAACCGCAATCAAGAAATTATGGATGGCAAAGATGTGCTCAAAATCCATGGAGTTTTTAGTTTCTGCCGGTACAAGTACTGCTCACAACGAAAAACGCCGACAAAGACGCCGGTCCACGGCATCTTTTGTTGAACAGGCAACTATGTGTGCCGTTTCAAACATGAGGCAAAGCCAATGGATCCCGCCAAAGCCGGTTTCGCAGTTCCTCCGTTGCCCGGACCGAGGGAGCAAAAAATCCCTCCGTACATCCCACGACCTGAGGACCTGGTCGTCGCACCTGAGATCGTGTAGTCTTCGTTCGGTCGTCGCGCGTCGCGCGTGCGGTTCCAAGGCCATTCCCATGTTTCTGCGCTGGGAGATCGAAAAGGCTGCTACACACATCTCTATCTTTTGTATTTCTCAGCCATGCACACTAGAATGAGGTATAATTTATAGTTAAAATTAAGATCAATTATATAGAACATTGATAATGGATTTAAGTAGTCCCACTAAACCGTTGAGTTGTTGATCCCCCACTTTCTTATCTTTCTTCCGGGCATCCACAAGATCGACCCAGCCAACTCCAAACGCAAATCCATCTATTTTGCCAGTGATTCGCTCCTCAAAGGCCTGCCAGGAAGAAGGCACCTTCATAAGGTGCCAACTTCAAGGGCTCGTGCAAGGTGCCATCCCCGTGGAGCACCACCTGCCACAACCACCGCGATTTCTTTGAGTCTGGTGGTCTGAAATGAATTCTGAAGCCATGCTTCCGAAGTACCACGCGTGCACTGCTCGCACCCCAAACACAAAAAAAAGAAACGGTCCAAATTGGACCCGAAAACCCAACCAACACGGTCGTCATCTGCGTCACTGCGCGGGGTCGTCTGGGTGCGTGTGCTTCCCTGCCGCACCTTCTGCTCCCCGGTGGCGATGGTTCGATCAAGGGCTCCTGTGGGTTCGATCGACACGTCGGACACGTCGCAAGTGGACCGCTCTGGGGGATTTCTGATCGGAGTTGGTGTGAAAGACTCGTGGTTGCTCTTTGCAGTTGTCATTGGCTTCTGGCAGTCTCCCCATTCTACCAACAGTGATGCATAAAGAATGCATATGAAAGCCATGAGGTGGGCATCTTGTTCGTCAGGAAACAGGTGCTTGGGCAGCAACGGATAGAATTCTGCTGTAGGATGGATCTAGTCTATTACACCCCTCTGAACTACAATTGTTGTGAAAGCAGTTATATAACCTTTTGATCTGGCAATGCTGCAATATCAATGAAAAAGTGGGAATCGACAAGGAGAAGAAACAAACATGTGTACAAACATATTCAATCATATTCATATACAAGAAAAGAACCCTACAAAAAGAGAAGAACACAAAAACAAGACAGAAACACAAAAAGTCCGGGGGACGCTGTCTTTGTGTTTGTTGTTGTTTGTTATTCTATTGTGTGGGTGTTTGGTGGAATCATGAAAACTGGTTGGTGTCGTTGTTTCTTTCTCTGCTTTTGCTTGCTTTTTTGACCGTCTTAAACTTGCGAGGAGTGGAGATTGAATACCCGCTTTTCAAAGGTGATCCAGAGTTTGTGTTGCCAGTGACACACTGAAGTTTTGCCGCCACCGTCACACATCAAAGTCGAGGATTCTTGCAGCCGCGCACTAAAATAAAAGCGCGGCACAACAACTCGGATCCGTCCTTCTTGTTGCAAGGACACTGATCCGGTGAACTCGACACATCCTGGGCCCAACGTTGGTCTGAAACAAGCACAGCTTTGGCCTAAAGGAACCAAAACAGGAACCTAGGCTGCAATGGCAACACCTTCGAAGCCGGTTGGCTTTCACATCTAAGATCCTCCACAAACCAATCTAGTGTACTGTATACTGTATATGTGTGTAAACCAATCCTCTGCCTTCCAACTACACAACAAAAAAGGCCACACCTCACCCGGGACAAGACAGCCATCAGGAAAATTTGGAGGAAGTGGACTCG